ACGTTTTATTTATTAAAGACTCCGAAGTGTTTATTACCGATAAAGAACGCCGGGACTATAAACTCTTAATTAAGCTACGAGCCGAAAGAATTATTAAGAGCTTTAAAGCATTATTTTAAGAGTCTAAAGCAAAAGAATTAGTAAAATTAATAGCTTAAAGCATTCTTTAAGTAATCCCGAGCATTAATCTACGTATTAAAAGCGCTAAGATCTTTAGATCTAAGTTTATTAACGAAATCAAAAGCAAAAGAACGCTTACGTTATACGAGAAATCTCGTATAATAATCTAAGTTTTTTAAGATAAAAACAAAACGAAAGTACTCACCGAGTCACTTACAATACAGCGAGCGAGCTAAAAACTTTATTATGCTTTAGCTCTTTCGCTAATAAAAGACTACGGGTATCAAGTTTATAATAAGAATATTACGCAAGCTTACACTTAATTAAGCACAAAGCTTATTCGAATAATCGTCGTGCGATTATTTAAAAAGATTACTTATCGATTCCTTTTCGGCACTTTATTCTTTATAATTAGCTTTTTATACAAGATCCTCGAAGCAAGAACGCATTAATATAAGCGTTTTTTAAAGCATTTCACGGACAACCTCGAGATAAAGCAATCGAGCTTTGATTCTTGCTTCTTTATATCAACTAATAAAGATCAGCTAAAAATAATTGCTTTACAAACGAACGATATTCTTATAATTGTTAATCGAGCTATAAGAGCAAAAGAAGAGAAAGAGTTGGTTAAATCTAAGCTAAAGAGCAAAGAAATAAAGACTTTTATACACACCGAGCCGATAATTTTTAATAAATGCAAGTTATTTTTAAATAAAAACGAAGTCGGATTATTAGTTAAGCAAAAAAGACAAGGTAAAAAGCTTGCCGTAATTAAGCTCGATTCAATCACACGAGCCAAAGAGTACTTAAAGCAACGTGCTCGAAAAGCGTATTTAGCTATTATTTGCTACTTAAAAGCATCTTATGCTTTATCGATAGCTGCTTAATATTAAAAACCGAAAGACGAAGATTATAAGGCCTTTAATAAAGTGATCTAATAGCTAATAAATCACTTAACTCGAAAGATCTATTACGTGCTTTTAAACTTAAAGACCGCAAAGCTCTTTGTGTTCGTAAACGGAGCGTTTACTAATAACGCTGACTTTAGCTTTTAAATCGGTTTCGTAGCTATCTTTAGCAATAAAGCTCACGTAAATAAGAGCGAGTTTACTTTAACGAGTAATATCTTTTATTAAGTGTTATAAAAGTGCAAAAAGGTGACAAAAGCAGTACTAGCTTTTAAGCTATACGCTATGTCTTTAAGTATCGATATAGCTATTGCTATATCAATTACTTTTGCTTAAATCATAGCTCAATTAAGAATTTTTAATTTCCTCGTAATAATATACACTAACTCTTACTCGCTTTACGAGTGTATAATAAAGCTAAGAACTACTAAAAAGAAGCGCTTTATAATCGATATTATAGTTATTCAAGAGTCATACGAAAAGCGAGAGCTCTTTAAAGTACGCTAGATCGAAAGAAAATCTAACCTTGTTAACGCTATAACCAAAATCGAGGCTAATACTTTTTTGCAAGAGCTAGTTTTGACTAATACTTTAAAAGTGCAAGTAAATAAATAGATAGAAAGGCCGCTATAAAAGAAAGAGAGAAAAGATTGTTTTTCCTTAGTTTAATTACTTTTGTTTAATTACTTTCTTTCTTTTTTCGATCGATATAATAGTTAACAAAGCACTGCTTGCTAAAAAGAGAGTTGCCGGTGTCGGTATATCTATATCGACCTTAATTAGCTAATAGTAGTAGTTAAAGAAGCTCACTCGTGAATCATGGTTCACGAGCCACTTAGCATGCTTCGCTTAGCATGTCAGCAGTCAAAAGACCTTCAACTTGACAAGTAAGCTTATTAATTAGCTAGTGCACGTGATTCTTTTTAATCTTATAAAAAGAATCAGCTCCTTTAAGCATTAAAGAGCAGACAGAATTCAGATACTTTATCAACCGAGTGTTTTGCAATTGCAAGTACTTTAACGAACGTTACGACCTTACGAATATATATTCCCAATCGCTTAAAAGCAATCCAATATAAAGCAACAAATCAATCCTCGTGGTCAAGAAATTAAGCCACGCTTTTTTGCAAATCCAAGCTACGGAAACAGAGCTCTTTAAGTCTTATTTATCAGAGCAAGAGCTACGCTAAATTCACCGCCGCTTAAGTCACTTAGCTGCTCGCCGATTAATCGATATATTAAAGCTCTTAAAGAACGACGAAGAAGCTAATTCGGCAATTATCAAACGCTTTATTAAATATTACTACTATTGCTAACTGCACGCAAAGTCACCTAGCCTTTTTAAATTCACAATCAAAAACGACCACAACTTTAACTACGCTATATACGTAAATGTAGTCTATCTAAATAGCAAGCTAGTGCTATATCTAATCGATAGTGCTACAGCTTACAACGCTAAAGCGTTCTTAAAAGACATGTTAGCACGTACCGCATAAGACACGTTGCGCGCTTATTAGATTGATACATACTTAAGTCTTTTCGACATCGTTATCTATAATTTAAGAACGAACTTCGCTGCTTTAAAATTCAAATTGCTAGCAAAATTAATAATAATTAAAGTAAAAAAAGAACTAATAAAAGCCTATAATAATGTCGGCAAAGTAGAACGGTACTATGCTATATTGCGCCGAATCTACGACATCTTAGTTAAAGAACTGAAAGAAGAGAGTGTTATAAAAGAATAACTATTGCAAATAGCTTTTAAAGCAATCAACGATATAGCTAGACTTAAAAGCTTCGTACTTATACTTTTAGTATTTAAAGCCTACCTTTATCTTATAAAGCTAGACTTACTTTCACCTTTTATTTAAAAGCGAAGAGAAGCTATCAATAAAGCTATGATTGAATTAAAAGCAATATAAGCAATCAAGAAAGTCAAAGACGCTTTAACAGCCAAGAATAGACTTGATACTACGTTAATTTTAGACCTTTTTATTTAGTCAAAGGTTCGTATATAGCGAAAGCACCCTTTTAAAGGTGGCAAGCCACGCTAGACTAGCCTTTAAAAGCTCATTGCTATAGACCGTTATACTTGTACGGTACAACTGCTTAATAGACTTAAAAATTTTCGATCTACGGCAATCAAACCTTATTACCGAAAGCAAGACTAAAAGCAAAAAGATTAAAATCTAATCTAAGCTAAAGTTCCTTCGGCTTACATTCCTTTACTTATTAAAGCAGTTCCAATAGTTCCTCTTCTATTAATCCCACCACTTAAAAGAGGTTTTAGAATTCGACGTCCTCTTAAGCAATTTTACTTAAAAAAAAAGGATTTAAAGAAAGATTTAAAGCGTTCTAGCAGCAAAAGGAAGCTATAGATCAAAAGGCACAAGCAAAGGCTTTCTTAACTAGAAAAGAACTGTCTGATAAAGCAACTGCTATCAAATTGCGTTAAAAAAAAAAATCACGACGCTTAACGAGCTATTTTAATAATCTTAACGCTTAAAGCTAAAAGGATTGATAGCTAAAGAAGTATTCTAATTAGTACAATTCGACTTTACGAAGCATAACAATACTAAGATCTTTAACTCAAGATTCGTAAATAAAGTTAAAAGAGTGACTATAGCGAACTTATTCGAAAAGTCACGCTTAATAATTTAAGCTTACTCGGACGAAAGAAAAACGACAATTCTTACTCAATCACTTATAATCTAAAAGGCTAGCTAACGATTACTTATAGCGCTAGCACTTGTTTTGCTATCATTCGGAGTCCGGGCCTACTTTCGTAACATCATACAAGCTTATACTTAATTAGCTCACTTTTTAAATCGCTTGATTTTAGCTCACTTACTAAAAAAGCTAAAAGACAAATACCCTTTCGAAACGATTATAATAATTTAAAAAGCGCTATACGAAGTGCTTAAGGCTAGAACACATTAGTAAGCTACGTATTACGCTTATTATAAAGAAAGATTAAATATAATTACTAGCACCTTTAATCTTTGCTTTTTGCTTTTTATTTTAAAAAAAGACGATTTCGCGATTATCAAGCTCTAAACCGATAATATTTTTATTTTAGCTATAGATACTTTTGCCGCTAAAGAAAAGGATAAATTGATTAAAGCAAAACTAAACTCTAAGTCAAAGGATAAGCTCTTAACGATTAAAGAACTCGCTTTTAATAAGAGAGTGTTAAGACAACACGCGTCCGATAACTCGATGTCTTTCTTTTAGAAAAAGCAAAGGCTGAAGCTTAAACTGGTCGAGAATGGCTTTAACTTTAAAATAAAATACTTAAAACAACGTGCTCGAGCTGCGTATATTGCATCAGTATATCAACTAAAAGCTTGTTTCGACCTTTCTACTGTTACCTAACATCAAGAACCTTTTTTAACAGATATCAAAAACCTAAATAAGCGAATCTAATAGATGATTGACAATATAGATCGAAGCATTCGGTATATCTTTATTCTTTTAAGAAAAGCTAAGCTATTCGTATTCGTCGATAGCTCTTTTACAAACAATAAAGATTTGAGCTCTTAAATTAAATACACGATTATCTTAGCTACCGAGCAAGATACAAAGACTAATGAGATCGAATTGCAAAGCAACCTCGTCCATTACTCTTCGATAAAATGCTTTCGAGTCATTAAAAGCGTATTAGCTTTCGAAGTATATAATATAATAGCTAGAATAGATATTGCAATTGCAATAAATACTACGCTTGCAATAGTTATTAAACAACTCGGCTTACCTACTATTTTAGTAATCATCTTTACTAATTCTTACTCTTTTTATAAGTGCTTAGTAAAGCTTAGCACTACGAAAGAAAAGCGCTTTATAATCGACATCATAGCGCTTAAGCAATCTTACGAAAAGAAAGAGCTTATTAAGGTTCGATGGATTACTAAAGAGCATAATACCGCCGATGCAATAACAAAAGGAATATTTAATAAAGCGCTAGAAACCTTTTTAAATACGAATAAGCTAAAAGTTAAATTAGAAAGTTGAGTTAAAAGAAAAAGCTGAAAAAGATTGTTTTCGATGCTTCTTATTAAAAGAGCTACCTCAGCGTACGGAGTTTTTAAGTTTTTTCCTTTCACTTTCATTTTACTTACTTTGCTATTAGCAAGAAAGAAAGACTGCGAGTGTTAGAATTAGCATTCAGCTTGGTTGACTACACTCAGCTGAGTCAACTCAGTCAAATAGGTCAAACAAGTTAAGTCACGTAGATACCCGTTTATACTTTCCGTTTGCATCGGTAGCTATAAGAAGCTACCACCTTACGTACTTAAGAATACATGTAATACCAACTGAACACACTTACACCTTGAATACGTATTCAACCTTGCATCATCACACCTGTGATACCAACAGTACACTTTTCAAGAGGCCATAAATTGCGGCAGGCAGAATCCCTCGTCCTTACAACGAACTCCCCATTGGTCATTTTCCCACTGTCCACAAGCTCTTTATCCTTATCTCTTTTCTCCAAGGCTTTATAGTACTCATCCAATTCGCCTACCTTCCGCGCTGCGAATAAATCAAGCTCTTCTGCGTTGTCGAATACCTTCTCACGCTCAGCCCGTTTAGCAGTCCCTAATAAGTGTCGGCGCAGCAGTATAAAAGGAAAGATGTATTCGTCGTTGAGGCCGGGTAAGAGGAGAATATGCAGCCACATAGCCCCCGAGGCCTGCGACCATTTGACCAGACTAGAGAGCTCCTTCTCTTCACGTCCTGGCAGTTCTGCCTCTTCCTCTTCCAAAACATGCATAAATATCTCTAGGTATTTAAAGTACCGGGAGACAATGCCCGGCGGCTCTTTACCATCGGTATTGCAATCCCACCCGCAGTTGGTGGGTCTGTTCTTGGAGAAGCCACCATGGTGCCGAGCCGGATAGCTTAGCGGGTCCGATGCATGACCACTCGAAGCTGAAAGTTCGCTAACTTTCTGTTAATAAAATCGATAACACTACCGGTATCGCTAATACCCTCCATCAAGAGCTTGGTAGGATGCTCGGCACTTGGGTCCCGAAGAACGTTGCTAGCGCTCACACCGTCAATGAAGTTCATCATGATAAATGGACCTAGACCGAGCAGGTTCCTAGCATCAGGACCCCACGCGTGGATTCGCGGAATTGAAATCGAACCGACAATCGTGTCATGGATGAGATTCAGGACCGCCACCTCCATAGCGACTTCTCGTCGGCGTAATCGTCACAGGTCTTGCCACGACGAGAGGAACGAACCATGGAAGCCGTGCTGTCGCTGAAAACCATCTTCACACCGGCATTGAATGCGCCATTGTGAAAGGTACCTTTGAGTTTGCAAGAAAGCTTCTTACAAGGGAACGTCGAGACACCAGGGCAGAGACGGCCCGTGCTGTGGGTATATTTCATCTTGTCGACCCAAAGTTGGGCCTGCGCATCGTGGACAAAGGTGATAGGCGCGTTGGCGTCCATAGTGTCAGAGAAGGCGAACGATTGAGGGATTGGGGGATTGGGGATATTTAACCCTAACGAGGGCGACCTTCTTTATTTTTTTCAAAAAAAAAGCTTTTGCCAAGAGTTTAGAAGCTTTTGACTCCGGGGATTACGGATCAACGTTACTCCGAGAGTTAATTCCGTACAGTACAGGTAGGACAGAGCTGAACTCTGGTAGTAGAGATAATTAGAAAAGTGACTTGATTTATCCTAGGAGCAGGAAAATACGAGAAATGATTGTATCCATAGCCTTCCAACCTGGTGCACGTGCTCTTGACAGGGAGTGGTAGCTCGGCCGAACCGGTGGATCAGAGAGTCTTCTAGCCTGCAGATCATCATTCTAGGCTCTCGGGACCGGGTAGCCTTTGTCTAGCCAGAGGCACCGCCTTTCTGCTACTGTATTGATTCCGTAAACGTCAGCATATATTGGACCCCGAAAATTCAGCTTCGTGGAAGGTTGAGTTGAGCACGAACAGCGGGGTTAGCCTTCTTCTTAGCTGCCTCCTCCTTAGTCGCCTCTTCTTTAGTCGCCTCTTCCTTAGCCGCCTCTTCTTTTGTCGCCTCTTCCTTAGTCACCTCCTCCGTAGCCGCCTCTTTTGCAAGCTCGCGTTTTGCGTGTTCATCTTGGTTCTTGCGACGGTCGATAAGAGAGTAGTTGGCAGCGTCAACCATCATTCCAACGGCGTCGCTCCCGGCGCTAATGAGCGCGTCATTGACCTCTCCTCGAGCCTTGGGGTTGATACCAGACATCGTGGGTGGACGTCAACTGGTGATTTATGAATTGGTTGCCGAAAAATCAAAATCAGATTAAAGAACGTGGTATGATGGGACAGAACTGAACTTTTGTGCCAAGGAAAGACCAAGACTTGAGTGCGCACGGACCCATAGATTAAGCATATCGTTTATGCTTACTCCGTACAGCCGGTCTCCACACTGATGGTCAATCTAGCGTGGCCCAGACGATCGGTTTTTGCAGATACAGAAAAGAGGGAGGATCAAGAGGGGGGATAAGAGGATGATTATTATCTATGGAAGGCGGGAAGGCTATATAGTTCAAGGTACGAGCTAGTGATAATGATGACGTAAAGTGTCCTCTCCTCCATCTCCCATTTACTGACACCTCTTCTCATAAAGCAGCTTAAAGAGCAAATGGTCTCCTAACCATATTTTAAGAGCATTTTCAAGGGCTCTGATTTACGGAGAAAGTTGGGCTATCATATATTGCTCGAGCTGCGAGTCCAGGCCGACCACTATTTCTATGCCGTGCCAGGTAACGAGCAATCAATTAGGCGGATATATATTTGACGGAGAGCGTTCTGATCATAATCTTCCATCAACCTTACTTTGCTAACCTGTGATAAAATAATGAAAGCGGCCGCATTCAAAGCCGCTATCATCGTGTCTCTTGGGTTTAAAAGTACTCCTTTAATTGGTCTCCAAAAAGAAGGTGATTTTAGCGACGAAAGTGGTTTGAGAATTATCGCTTAAAATAATCTAAGTAATCCTCTTATGCAAAACCTGCCTTTTATAATCTCTCCCCTTCGTGAAAAGTCAGTGTACAAAAATCGGCATCCATTTGCCTACTGCGAAGATTTGAATTATCGCAAGATGCAAACGTAGACCAATTGAAGCACCAGCCAATCCCTGTCACATCTTCCCATCTACCCTTCGGTGCTTCGGCTCCCAATTTCAAGATCTCCTATATAATTAAAAACCGAAAATTGGTAGCATAATGCACTACAATGGAAAGGTAATAATGAATCATCTACTTTGGTCCTGGTCGCGTGTAGATTCCTCCATTTCATGTTCTCAAGAATTCGTCGGCCCGAAGTTTTCGTTTTGCCCCACTTCCGGATAAATTTTTGATAAATAGATAACGCAAAATATTCCGTTTATCTGTAGAAATCCGGAATGGTGTAGTGGCTAGCATTTCTGCCTCTCAACGATCGTAGCGACCGATGTGAACGCAGGAGACCGGGGTTCAATTCCCCGTTCCGGAACAAAGGTTTTCTTCATTGGCCCCGGAAGCCGGTCCAGTGATTTTTTTTGAAAGTAAACTTATCATCCCGCTTAAAGGCGAATAACAGATCTATCGGGATCAAAAGCAAGCAAGCTTTTCTATGTAGTCCAAAGAATTTTCTTTTCACCATGTCTTACTATTTAATGGGCCGCTTTTTTTTCCAGTCGTCGTTGCCCACCCGATTTCGTCTGCAGAGCTTTGGCAAAAATTTCCCCACCATCGCTTAGACCTCTGGGCATATAAACAGCCCTCCCAGTGTTTTCAACTCACGCAATGTTCCCTTCCTTCAGGTAGAGGTTGAGGAACACCATGCTGGCTCCTCATCAGGACGAGCGTCTTTCTGATCTTTCTTTCGAGATACAACCCGCGAGTAGGCAAATATCATTTGCAATCTTGAAATGTGGAATCTCGGCATGTCTATACGACAAAAGCGCCAGTGAGACAAGCATCAACGCGTGTTTGGATCTTCAATCAGGGGCTTCAAATGTTTCGGTGAGAGGAGTCAAGAAATCGTCGAGGTTGGAAAGTGATATTCTGAGGTGCATGTCTTGGTTTCTCGCGTCGGCAACGATCTCGTCCCGCTCTTGCTTCTCCGCCCGACTGCCCATCATGCGATATCAGGGCATAGAGAAGTCATTTTCGGGGATCTGGAATGGGCTTGTTTTTGGGGGGAGAGGGGGGGTGGATGTGAGAGCTTGTTTGTGAGTGATTATATGATTTTGATGTTTATTGGCCTGGTGAGCTGTACATGCTTGCGGCTTGGTTCATACTGAGTAGAATTACATTTCTTCGTGATAGGTTCAAGTTTGCTTGATCTCCATAACCTTTGATCGCCCTTGAGGCCACAGGAATTTAGTCTTATGCAAGGGATTTGACTGTCACTAAAAGCGCGTGGACGTGAAAGGCCGTAAAAATATCGATTGTTAATATAATACATGCTCGACCACGGATAGGGTGCACTACAAACGTTTATTGTCTTGAACTTGCTATTTGAAGACCTTATTGAATTCGAATCATGTTACTTCTGCCCTCGCTCCACAATGTTCCAGAAGCCGAAACATAGCAGCCTAAGAAATTACCTCAATCATGAAAGGCACAAAAATTTATCCTTTTTCCCTGCATAATGCGTCTCGCCCATTTCCTTCTCATCGCCTTGAAATTCTTACGTACTACCCAATGTAACCAGTGTGGTCGGTCATTCGGCATCCCCCCAGCGCATTCTTCCATCAAGTTAATCGTTTACTCCCTTGAAAATACGATCGACAGCTCCTTTGAATGACAGCGGACCGTGACGCGACGACAATGTGATAAACTTGCGGTCTCTCTTGTCGGTAGACCTACCACTCCTGCTCCTATCTAAGGCTCATCCAGCTCTACTGTAATAGTAGGACCTGAGCGATCCAAGATCGTTCAATTCCGAGTTCACATCTCAGACCTAGATATAGCGACCTTAGACCTAGCTCGAGCGGTTCACAGTCGAATAATAGCAGCCTGTACTTACCATAGAAAAATCGGCGAATCGTCATCACTCTCTACATACCCACGGTACAGGCCTAAGTATTACCCCTCGAGGGTGCCTCAAAAGTTTAGTTTCTACTTTAAACCCCCTGGTTACCCTACCCTCGAGGGGTAATACTTACGCCTGCGACGTAGTACTACTACTCTTATTATGATACTAATTTTATAGACAAGTTTCACGAAGCATCATACTTACGTAGTACGTAGAAGAACAAGCAGACGGTGCCCATGCTTATCGTCGAAGCCTTCCACCAAGTATTCCAGCAAAAGTTAGATCGCCTCTCGCGAGCCTTACCCTCTCGTTTCACGGAGAGGCTAGGAAACGTTCAGGAGAACACCGACTTACGTACTACGTACAGTACGTACTACTACGTACCGGTAGTACCTGCAGAACCTCGAGGTCCGAAAATAATCTTTTTACGAAAAAACGTACTACGTATGACCGTATCATAAATTGGCTGGGGAGTTCGAGCTGCATCGGCCCCTATTACGTAGTACGTACCTAGTACTACTACGTAGTACAACTATATATAGTAGCGGCAATCGAAGGATCCCCGACTCCCCGTCTCTGCGCCTCGCCAGGATGTAAAGTTCGGCTCTCATGTCCGGAGACCGGAAGGGACACGACACGGAAAAACTTCCACGAATCGAGCGAGGCTGCTGCCTATTGCAGCGATGTTAGAATATCCGGGGTACCCATGATCCGGAACAGGGAGTTCGCTTAGAGGGAGGGTAGGGAAAATTCGAGACGAAGTCATAATAAAAGAAGTCGTGTGGTTTCTGCATTGAACTGACAGCGACTCTATTCTCATTTGATTCTACCCTACATCCATCATTTCATTCGCGCCATGTTTTTCTCGCGAAAGCAAGCTGTCGGCTTTCTCCTTCCTGCTCTCGTGCGAGTAGAGTGTGCCACAGTCACGTATGCAGTTCCATCATCTCCTCCGAATGGGGCTGCACCGCTGGATCCTGCGCCTGTGGGAGTATCGTGAGTCTCCTGTCACAACGAGGAACCCCGATCAGCCATTATCTGATCAGAAACAGTTTTGAATTCTTCGCCTTCCCTTCCTACTTCCTCAATGTCAGTGCAACGAACCAATGCTTGAAGAATTTTCAAGACTTGACGGGCACATGGCCTCCGATCCGGATTGGCGGCACGACACAGTAAGTCCTCCCGATAATGTCGGAGGCGCATCACTAATGACAATGCAGAGACCGCGCAGTATATGATCCCGCGATTTCTGAGTACGTGGTGTATACGGTCGCAGATCCTGCAGATGCACCAGAAGACCTGAAATTCGGGCCTTCGTTCATGACATTGGCGGGGACATACGAAGGTACGGTGGTAGTCGGTCAGTCTTTCTCCTCCCTATCTGTCTGAAACCTTTGCTCACTGTCAATCTCCAGGTCTCAACCGCGGCAAAGACGACATCGCCAACACCATCGAGGCAGCCAAAGTGGCTACAGCCAATATCCCTAACCTGAGAGCCATCGAGCTCGGCAACGAGCCTGATTGTAAATCCCGCCCACCGCCGGGACCCCAGCAGAGAGCTTGCGACTAACAGACTTCTTTCCACAGACTACTTAAGAAACGGCCAGCCTATCGCCGTCAAAGCTCCAGCCTGGGACCCCTCTGCCGACGCCGCATCGCAGAACGACTGGATCCTTGAAGTCGGCGCGACTCTAGGCATCAAGGCCCTCTTCCAAGCCGGCAATTGGAACGAAGCGCCTTCAACCTGGGGCGCCGAAGGACTGATCGCGTCGCAGAACGACAGCGTCAAATCCTATATCCACAATTACGCGCACCACAACTACCCCGGCGGCACGGTCGACTCGCTCATGTCGCACACCCGCATCGCCGCCAACGTGGACACCTTCGCGGCTGACATCGCGGCCGCCACGTCCGCGGGCAAGGACTACGTCCTGGGCGAGACGAACAGCGTGTCCGGCGGCGGAGCAGCGAAGACCAGCCCGCTCTTCGGCGCGAGTCTGTGGACGATGGACTACGCGCTGCGGGCCTCCGCGGCCGGGATCAAGCGGACGTACTTCCACCACGGGACGATGGGGAACTGCTACTACTGCTGGTGGGGCCGGCACGCGATCGGGGCCCCCTACTACGGGGCGTATGCGGCGACGAGGGCCATGGCGGGTGGTGCGTCGATTCACGCGCTGGACGCTGGGAAGGACGCGTTTGCGGTCTACGTCGTCTACGACAAGCAGGGGCGGCCGCTGAGAGCGGTGCTGTACAATTCCGAGTTCTTTGATGGGTCGGGGACGAGGGCTAGCCAGACGTTTGTGTTGAGTGGATTGGGAGCTGTGGCGAGCGTGGGCGCCCGGAGACTGAGCGCCGCGAGTGCCAACGCGAGGGCTGATCAAGGGGCGGCCGGGAGTGTTACGTTTGGGGGATTAGAGTTTGCTGCTGAGACGTGTGTATCGAGCGGCTCTGACAAGGTTGAGAAGGTTGCTGTCACCGGTGGGCAGGTCAGCCTGGACGTTGCGGCCTCTGAGGCGCTGGTGGTGGATTTGCAGTAGGGAGTAGGTACTAGATAGATAGATACTAGTGGGAGTGAATTTCCTGTCCAACTCGCTCCTCCATACGGGCATTCTCTGGCCATTGACCCATCGTATCGAAGTCGGACCTGGCTATTCCGGACTTGCTGTGCTCAAGCTTGAAGGCATTAATTGGCCGGTGTGCCTCGATAACAAAGAGCGCTTGCAAGGCAACCCGCGAAGTATCAGATTCCTTCCGCAGCTGTTCCCATTCATACGGGAGTAATCAATCATCCGTCGAAACAGAAGCATTTCTGATAGAGACTCCCGCCTCGGCCCCCTTTCCATGGCGGATAGATCTCCCGGCCCGGTCTCCCTTACTGGTGCGCGTAAGCACGCCGTTTGGGATATTCGAGGGTATAAGTAGGTAGGTACACAGGTACACACACACACATATATATAAAATACAGAACAGAATACTTATTCTAGTCCCTAAGTCAATGTCAAGCCGGAAACTCATCCAAGTATACCTCCCTAAACAACAACACCTGTCTCACTTCGCCTTATATATACGCTTCCTTCCTCGTCTACTCACTTCCCTCAACCCCTCATTACCTCACCCCCCTCCGCAACATAAAACAACTCAAAACAAATACATACTTTACCATCCAGACCGAAGCTAAAACCGAAGCTCAAACCGAAGGTAAACCCAAAGCTAAAAACCAAAGCCAAAGGCTAAAAAGGCAAGCTACAGTTCCCCTCTGAATACCGGTACGTAGAAGACGGACCCAGTCTAGCCGCATAGATCACAGAGCTGTACTACCTAGTAGTACGTAGTAGTAGTAGTTTCTGAATGGCTCAAAGCCTTGTCAGCTCTCCGTGTTGGACAGGACATAAAAATACTGGCTCAAAGATACGTAGTACCGTACTACTACTTTATCTGGAATCATGACGTATCCGAGCGTAGGTAAATACTACTTACGTAGTACTTACTGTACTTACTGTACATACTAAATTAGCCGCACCGTTCTCCGCGCCTCGTCTGCGCGCGCGTGACCCGCTCATCCCATGATTCCGGGTCGGTCGGTTCGGTTCGGTTCGGTTCGGTTGGGTTGGGTTCAAAGCGGGGGATGGGGGTTGTCTCTCGCTCGCTCGCTCGCTCGCTTAGGATCCGAGGTCCAAGTGCAAAAGTTACTACGTAAAGAGGTAAAGTGAAGTGAAGTCCGTAAAGTCAAGTAAAGTCCGTCAAGTACAGTGAAGTCCGTAGAGGAAAGTAAAGGACCGAGGGAGGAAACCAAAAAAAAAAGGGAGTGGCTGGCTGGCTGGCTGGGAATAGAGAAGCCATCGCCCCCCGGACGGAGAAACGCGCATATATAGGTACTTCGTACCTGAAATACACACATACGAACTTTCACTCCGTATCTCGCTCGCTCGCTTATCCTATCCTAGTAATATTTTTGCCTTTTTTTTTGTCCTTTCTTTTTTTTTTTTTTTTTTTTTTTTCCAATTTACGATTTTCGATCTCCGATGTTCGACTCGCGGTGTTCGATCGGCATCCGTTCGAGGTCCCATCCATCCATCCACCTGTCCGTCTCAACAGCTACTACGTATTTTTCCAAAATCATTCAGGGATCGAAGAACGCAAGAAGATCGAGCTCGCTCGCTTACCATTACACTCACTCACTACCGGTACTTACCTGCCCACTTACGTAGCATCTTATCAGCGGGAACGATCCGAGAATCGAGAACCGGGATCCGTGGTCGAGGTTTCGAAGGGGGTTTCATTAGTCCCAAACACCTATCCTTCCATCCCCCCCATATATACGAAGAGAATTTAAATTTATATATTACGATGTGTGTCACGTGAGCGCCTGCTTGGGTTAGTTTGTACTACTCGGATCTATCCTTGAGCCTAAAGCAAGGTAATTTAGAAAGAAAGAAGAGGGGAAAGTTTAGTTCTTTACTTTTCCTTTCTCTCCTTTCTTTCCATTGTTTCCTCATCTTGCATTTACTTTCGGGAGGTTTTTATCTACTACATACATATCCCCAGGCGAACGAATGAACGAACGGACGAACTCAACGCGGGATCCATAGATACATGCGTTTGCCTATTTTTTGACTTGTTTATTCGACGTGGTGTAGGAGTGACTAGATTGTGTTCTATTTTTCGTCTCGGGAGTCGAAAAAACGAGCAGCAGCATCCATCCGCAAGATTCAGTTAGAATAACAACCCAGCCAGCCAGTCAGTCATGGTCTTCCTCACGGCGTATCCCTTCGCGCTCAGTCTCGCGTTCCTGGCGGGATGGGTCGAGGCGAGCAAGCAGATCGTGAGTACCGATTCTAATCCCATCTTCAATTCCAACTCCATCCTTCAAATCCCCCCCCCCTCTCTCTCCCGTGTGGAGGGAAATGGAGAATGGGATGATGTATTTGAGGAAAAAAGAAAAAAAAAAAAGAAACCCCCCCCTAGCTAACACAACACGCATAGGTACCTGGCGCCACCATCACCGCGGCTGGCACGAACCAGCACATGCAGGCCCACGGCGGCGGCATCATCCAGGTCGATTCCGTGTACTACATGATCGGGGAGAACAAGCTGAACGGCTCCGCGTACCAGAGTATCAACTGCTATTCGTCGACGGTATGTCCCGAGCGACCCCATCTTAGCGAACGACGGGGTCTTGTTGTTACCTTACTGACCTTCCATGCAGGATCTCGTGAGCTGGACCTTCGTCAACGAGGTCCTGGAGCTGGAGAACGACGGCGATCTGGGCCCAAACCGCGTGGTGGAGCGGCCGCATGTGATCTTCAACGAGGAGACGGGCACGTATGTGATGTGGATGCATATCGATAGCCACGATTATAAGGAGGCCAAGGCGGGCGTGGCGACGAGTGATAGCATCTGTGGGGATTATAAATATATGTGAGTTGTGTCTTTTTGTTTTCTTGTTGGGGGGGGAGAAGAGGGAGAGGAGGGGAAGAAGGGGAAGAAGGGCAAGAAGGGCAAGGAGGCAAGGGAGAATCGAGAGAGCAGAGGACTGATGAAAAGCGTGATAGGGGATCGGTACAGCCGCTGGGCTTCCAGAGTCGGGATATGAACCTCTTCAAAGGTATGTATGCATGCTGATTCCCAGAGACATGAAAATTCCGGCAATGAGGACAAGGGCAAGCTGATGAAGTGTAGATACCGACGGCACCGCTTACCTGCTTACGGAGGATGTGAGTCTCGCCTATCCTGATGAGCACATAAAAAAGGCAAAGAGCTGATAACGTGACAACTTCAGCGCAAAAACGGTCTTCGCATCAACAAACTCTCCAAGGATTACCTTACGGTGGACTCGCCCGTGCATCTCTTCAAAGAATCCTACGAAGCGTCGGCAATCTATAAGGAGGGTGGCACTTATTTCATGTTTGCGTCGCGCCTGACTGGGTGGGGTACGTGGTCCACATTCATGCGATAATCGTGGGAGAGATAATGCAAAGTAAGCTATCAAGAAGAAGAGAGAGCTGACGAAGAGAAAGATCCAAATGACAATGAATACTGCACAGCAAGCTCCCTCAGCGGCCCCTGGTCATCATGGACCCCGTTCGTGCCTGTCGGGTCCAAGACGTTTAGCTCGCAGACAGCGGCTGTCGTGAATGTCAATGGGGTCGTGATGTACATGGGCGATAGATGGAAGAAGGAAAACTTGATGACTTCAACGTATGTGTGGCTACCGCTTAAGCTGTCGGGCACGACTGCTAGTATGGTATGTCACCTATCCCATCTCCATCTCCGTCTCCAACCGCAGAAATCATCGAGGAAGACAGCATCTCACAAGGACGTAGGAGGACAAAGTGAATTGGGTCCTGGACATTTCCGCCGGAACATGGGCTGCTGGCCCTAAGGAGACTAGCACCGAAGCAGAGGCCAGCACCAACATCCTCGCCAACGGGGCCAAAGTCATCGACTGCAAACCTTGCTCGGGTGGAAAGAGCGTAGGCTACATCGGTGGCTCAACCGGTGGCACACTGACGATGGAGGTGACGAGTATCCAGCCGACGAATAGCACGATCAGGGTGCATTATGTCAATGGGGATAAAACGCAGCGCTATGCGACCGTGGTTGTCAACGATGTGACCACGGTGATGGCGTTTGTGCCCACGTCAGGGGGTAAGCCCATGGATAGTCTGTTGACGGTGCCGTTGAAGGCCGGGAAGAATACTGTGAAGTTTGAGGCGTACGAGGGTGGATGGGGTGAGTTTTTCCCCTCGACCCCCGGAGAGCGTCTTTAGATTTGGTAGCTGACGATTGCAGGCCCGGATATTGATCGCTTGATGGTGCCGTCTTATTGAAGATCTCAATCGTATTTATAGCAAGAACCTTTGCGTGGAAATGTAGCGAGGGTTGAGAACCAGGAGCATCAGCCTTTCCACCTCAGCGGAGCAGCTTTAACTCTCCTCTTTCGGGAGAACGAACTTTCGTATGGTTGTTGATCATGTCCATGGAGTCAGGACGCGGCGGATAATAGCGTTTGCGCATAATGGAAGCTTCTTTCTAGCATTCCCATCCCCGTGTAATCGTCGAGCGTGAAATAAGCGAGAAGTCTGATATTGGCGGCAATGAGGCGTTGACGGAGGTTTTGTTTGAGTAGGATGTCCAACTTCTCTCGAGATTATGCTGCCGTGAAGACCAGCTGTTGGAAGAGAAGGAGATTCACAAATTCATATGCGCCGTAAGTATATATAAAGAAACGTGGACGAGGCAATCCCAGAAACGAGTAGAATGGAAAGTCAACAAATAACATCAAATCCAGGATATAGATTAGGATCCTAAGGTGGTAAAGAGTCACTAGAAGGATTCGCGTCAGTTTCGTGAAAGATCCATGCGCAAGAACGATAACGAAATCAAAAGATTAAGGTAAATAACGAAATATATTGATGCCTTATTTCTCTTAATTGATTTAGGCATGTATCTTCATGATTAATCCCATTTTATCGATTTGCTGAACGTCGTTGTCGTTGCGGTACAGGCAAAGGCTGTCACGTTGATGAAAAGAGGGTCAATCGCGGCTAGAACGCGGTCTCGCAGCCGACGCGTACTGCTAAGTAGAATTTCCCCGTCTCTGCCCAACGAATTGCACTCCTGCACCAGACCCAACAAGACCAATCACTTCGCATAATGTCCGCAGAAATCGTCAAGAAACAGCGGGGTAGGCCGAAGAAAGTGATATCCGATCCTGTGGAGGTAGATATACCAGACAGCGCGCAGACGTCGACGACGAGGACAAAATCAACAAAAGCGGGTGCGAAGAAGGGGAAAGCTACGCCGGTGATCTCTGCAAAGGTTACCGCGGTCAAGAAACCCGTATCGAAGACTGTCGAGCCGTCTGCGGCGACGAGGATACCGTCAACGACTACGACGTCGAAGATATTAGAACAAGTGAGGGGATTGGAATCCAGGAAAGCCTCTGTGCCCGAGAGCCCTGCGCAGAATGTTGTGGAACAAACACCCAAAAACCTATCGGAGGCAGCGCCGAGGATTATTGCGTCCAACGCTTCACTAGAGGATATACAGCCCAGATCATCTGCGCCTCCCCCTACGACTCGTGCGGCGAATGCTGCAAAACCAGCTCCCGTCAACCCTCCGCCCCCGGTGAATATGAGCCCGCCTTCACCTCCACCTCCGGCGTCGAAAGCCCACGTTCCGTTGCGAGAACTGAATTCGGCCATCGTGTCGGACATATCTACGAGAGCGGGTGCAAGACCGAACACAAGCAGCGGGAGTCGAGCGTTGCCCAAGAACTACAAGCCGGTTGCGAGGAAAGTTTCGGCTGCCATTGTGGCGATGCCGATTCTGATTGTTACGAGTTATGTCCTCTACCAGAGACGTGAGTTCTTCTGCCTCTCTGTGCGCAGATGAGGATTTCTGGGGTGGTTGCTGACCGGCGATTGCAGTGGTCCTGGGACAGGAGAAGAAGCTTTTGGTTCCTCCGCCGCCTCCAGAAGGAGGGAAGAGGGGAGATGTGGTGAGGAACCAGTAACAACGGAAAGGGATCTCGGGGCTGGCTGGCTGGGTGGGCTCCGAGGTCATTGCGTGTGTATATATATATAACGAGAGGCATATGTTTATGAAATAACGTGAGATAGCAGGATATGGATCGATTTATAGGAAGATGGGAACTCAACCTTGGATACATACTCCAGACTCTCTCTGGCTTGGGTCCGCAGTCAAACGCGATCGCTTACTCTCGATGCCTTGGAGATCACCCCCCGTCGGCCCTGTCAGATGCACGCTGGTGTTTGCACTTGAGAGTTTCCGATGAAGATGCAGTTCTATGACCTCTGCCTCTTGGTCGAGAGATGACAAGTATATCGAGATAACAATTACTGGTGGAGCTCGGGGCCAAAGACTAGAGACGCCGGACTTTGTCATACTTGGTTGGCATCCGGTCCATGTGTGACGGTTCACGGCGTTGTGTGTACAGTCGGCAATGTAACTTCTCTCTCGGTATCAGACGCACGAGATGGAGAAAAAAGAAAGGGAAGCGCACATCCTATGCGTCGTGTTGCCTTATGTCCCAAGCCAAGCTATAAGTCACCGAGGGAGGCGAATTTGTAGAAAGGCAGGGACGACGACTATTATAATACTTTGCTTGAGTATCTGTACGTACTTAGGACAAGGAGGCAGCACTTCCTACATCATCTTCTTCCTCAGCAAATACCCTCCTCAATCGGCTTCTATCCTCTTGAACACTGGAATTAGAATCAAACAGTAACACGCGCCTCAACATGTCTGCCTCTACCTCCACCGCTATCTCCACCTCCACCTGCACCTGCACCATCGGATCCTTCAACTTTGTAACCTTCAACCACTGTATCAACGCTGAATTCCCCGACACCGAACATCACCGCTGGGGCATCAACCCCTCCAACCGAGAGATCCTCCCCTCCGTCCCCATTGCTACATTAGAGGACCTCGATAAGGCCGTTACCGCCGCTCGCGCAGCCTTCAAGCTGTGGTCCAAAGTCTCGTGGGAATTTTTGTTGTTGTTGTATTTATTTACGTCGGGCGGGTAGCAGGCGAAGCTTGCCGCCCTGGGACCTCTTATGGGGTACGGCGACGTGCTAAGCTAAGGAATTACATACAAGAAGGCTTTAGAAAGCAATTCAAAGTGTTGTAGCGAAGGCTATTGTCGCATGCGCCCTTCTCTTATAAATAAGATGGATTATATAAAAAGAAACCTTTCATCAAGGGAAAACTATAAAAGAGAGAGTCAAGCATATACAAATTGCTATAGCTAGCTAAAGGCGAGCTGTTTACGTCGCGTAGCGACAGGAATCAAGGCCGGACCGAAGTTAGCCGAGTACAAAAGAAAAGGTGAATACGAAAGCTTAAACTTTAAAAGAAAACCTAATATAATATACTAGTGCTAAAAAGAATTCCCTCGAGAGCGTATTACGCTATCTTAAAGTCTTAGTCCCGTGACGCGGTTGATTTAACGAGCTTTTACAGCTTAAGTAAAGCGGAGCGTACTTCGTTCTCTTTACCGAAGCAGTATTAATTAGCTAGAGTAGCACTTTTATTAAGTGTAATGCTTAAAGTAGAACTCCGTAATAGTCAAGAAAGCTTGAAAATCGGCCGGATTGTTAAGGAAACTTTTAAAGAAGTCGTAAGCTTCCGAGATCGTGCTCGAAAAGGTTTGCGGTCGGGTCTTATAAAGCTAAGAAAAGAAGCGTCGTTACGTGAATCGGCAAAAGGCTATATGCAAAAAGGACTTGCGTTTGCCGCAAGCATACTTTAAGTTAGCGTCGTAATATTAGAACTTGGTATAGTATTAAGTAAAGTCTTCGTGCGTAGTTCGGATCGCAAGTAGTTTGTGTAAGATATATTATAAGAGTTTTAATTCCGGAAAGGGCTTGATTAAGTATAAAAAGCTTTATTTCCGATACGAGCGTAAAAGCTTAAAAGAGCTTGCGCTTTATTAAGCTTCTCGTGCTTTATTTTATATATCGCGGAAAAGTATGCGGATGCCGCTGATCGTAAGTTGCGATATTAAATTAATATCTTAATCCGGTTTCCTTGCTTTTAAGTCTGCAAGCTTATCCGCCCGTTCGTTTCTTTTAATGCTTATGTGCTTTAAAGACTATCGTATTCGCACGTCTCGAGTCTTTATCACTTTTTAAACGTTTAAAAACGCTTATTGCGATAATAAAAAAGCATTTTCGCGAAGACATTAAATGACTGATGTGCTATCGATGCAAAGCTAGATCCGTTTCGCCGTCGGATAAGCGTGCATTATTCGTTCGAAGCCTTTTTATGCTTTTATCACTTTTGCGTTAAAAACGTAAGAGCAATCGTTGATAAAACCGTACTCGTAGCTTATCTCTTATCGTCTTCGATAGATTACGTACTCGTAGCTTATTAATCGGTTGCTTTAATCGTACTGTTTTAACCCGTTTAAAAAGATCGTGATGTCTTTTAGCGAAAGCTATTGCTATTATGCTTTGAATGCGGCAGCAACTTCTTTCTTCGTTTTGCCGTCCGCCGGGTCCCGTCTGCTCTTCGATATAAAGTGCGGAAGGACAAAGCGAAAGCGAAGAACGTTTAAAAAGAAAGTTCTTAATCTTTAGATCTTAATCTCGAGGATCTTAATAGTTTTCGCGCCGCGACTGCGTTATCGGATCCGCAAAAGTATCCGGCTGACTAGTAAGTGCTTATCGTTTACCGTCTTTAGTTTTATTGCAAACTTAGCTTTAGCTTTTTTTAAAGCTGCAATGCCGGAAAGAAGCTCGGTATCTCGAAAAAGCGTTGCCGTTAATGTCGTTTTTTAGACCGAAAGTACTTTGCGCGCCGCGAGGGTTATCGTCTTATTAATAAAGTCAATTATCTTTTCGATTCGAGCGTTAATAACTTTTAATCTTTTAAACTTGCAAATTAAGCGATAGCGCTTTGCGTACTACGCTTTCGTGCTATAAAGCACCGAAAGCAACACGCAAGTAATAACTGCTTTACGCAATAAAGCCGCAAAAAGATCGTAGATTATCTTAGCGAGATTGCGGATATGCTAAGCGACTTTCTTAGCTTTAGCCGCTCGTTCTCGAACGTATCGGCGGAACTTTAGCTTGCGGTTAAACTAGACTTTAAGCTATCGTATCGCAAGTATGTCTTCGTTTTTTAGATCCGTAATAATGCACGGAATAGTTATAGTATCGATTACGAAAAAGAAAGCATACGTGCTTTTCTTGCGAAAGAAATGCATTATTTCGATCTTTTTCGAAGCGAAAGCGATCTTATAAGTGTTATTTTATTTAATAATAGAATTGATATCGTCTCGAAGCATAACGATGTTCCGGTCGAAGGTGCGATTAACGCGATATAAGCAAATATCGTTAGCGTATTCGAAGCGCAATGTCCGGTCTTAGTTGAGTAGCTTAGTTAAGTAAAGCATATAAAGCACCGGTAATAGCGAGGATCTTTGCGGAGTGCCGCACTTTACGTCGTAAGTGTCCGTGATTTTTTTTTTTAATCGGACCTTAACTTTACGGTTTAAAAGAAAGGATTCTATTAGCTTAAGCAATAAGTACGGCTAGCTTTGCTTCGTTATGCGTTTAAAGAAGCGACGGGTCAAGATCGCATCAAAAGCTTTTTAGATGTTTATAATGACTATAGTAACTTAGTATTTAATTGTAAGTGCGGACTCGATATCGTATATTAAGCACGAAGCGAGGTTTAATATAAAGCGCCGTAAAAAGGCTCTCGCGTATTGTAAGCTAAAGACGTCGTTAATAAAAGCAGTCTACGTAATTCTCTTCGCAACGATGCGCTTTAGTCTTTTAGAAATGTACGAAAGCAAAGCAATCGGTCGTTAAGAGCGGATAAAAGTCTTGTCTTTTTTCTTTATTTTAAAGATCATCGAGATTTCGGCGAGCTTTTACGCATCCGAGAAATAGTAAAAAGCTAAGCATTTATTAAAGAAGCTATAAAAGAAGTGATAAACGTGTTGCTAGCATGCTTTAAGCAGTCGTACGATGATTTTGTCCGTTTCGAGTGAAATGCTTATTACTTTAATTACGTAAGACTCTACTTTTTTTAATAATACTGTAGTATCTTAAAAGAGCCGGCCAGTATCTTTTTAATTAGCGAGTAGATCGTAGTCGAGGTCGTCGGCGGCGCTAAACCGTTTAAAGATGCTTTCTCGTAGCGCGTCCGCTTTCTTTTTAATATCTTCGATAACTTCGTCGTTGACTATTAAAAAGAGCGATTTTAAGTTCGGAGTAAGCTTGTGTTAGCTTATGACTTTATATAAGTTTTAATTCGATTTTACTCCGTCGATCACGTAAGTTTAATAAGCCTTCTTAGCTTTTTTGATTATAGCGAGCTAGTTTCGCGTTTCTTAAGTCGGTTTTCCGTCGTACATTACGGAGCGCGCTGCTAAGTGTTTCTTATACGCTATCTAGCAGTCTGCCGTTTATTATAGTGCAGCCGTTAACCTTTTTCGAGCGAGCTATCCCGCAACTTTTAAAGCAAAGTTGAAAGCAATAGCTAAACTGATCGCAAGCTGATCGAGTTTTTTAATAGAATATATTGTTTATAAGTCGAGGAGTTGGTTTACGCTTAACGCTATAAGCGAAGCGAATTTCTCGAGGTCTTGGTCCGGTATTCGGTATTAAAAGCGCTTTAAAAGAACGACTCTTCGGCTAAGGATAGTCGTGACTTAAGTCTCGTAGTTTAAGCTCGAATAAAGATCGGAGCGAATTGTCGTTTAAGCAAACGGGATATTTAAAAAGGTCAAGTCTAAAACGTGACCAGCTTTATAGATAAGGTCGCTCGAGAGTCTAATATAGTCTATTTTATTAGCATTAGACTAGGCCGCAAGGTTTCTTTTTCGGCTTTTAAGCTCAACTTTTAGTTCGAATATATCGTACTATATATTAAAGTCCTTTTTAATCAAGCACTTAGAAAGAAGAACGAGATAGGTGATATAGTTTATAATCGAGTTTATTAAGAGTTGCTAATAGACGTTTAAAGTAGCGAAGCCGTTTATATCGACTTATAAGAGATTTTTGTTGCGAATAGAACGGCGTTATTAAGTGCGAAGACTTACGCTTTTGCGCACGTAAGTTATCACTCGTAGTCGCTTAGCGAAGTATTAAGCATCGTTTTAATTATCTTACGATTCTATTAAAGCATAGCATTCGTAAAACGAGTGGTTTTGAGTTTTAGTGCTCGAGTGCGTATACGGCTTTTAAATATAAATAACGTTAATATTTGCCGAATAGCAAAGGTAAAGTAAAGCAATGTAGTATAGCTGCTTTTTGCTTACGTTCGCTTAATAGACTTAGATTTCTTTAAAGAGCTGTCGATTGCGGCGAGTGCCGCGGTGCCGTGTCGGCGTGCTTAATATGTAAAGTTGTTTTAAGCATCTTAGCTAGCAGCAATGCTCGAGCTTTTTATAAACGAAAAAGATGAGCTGATAGTATTGTCTACGTGATAATCCGATATCGCTATTAGCGTATTTTTTTTTTCGTTTATAATAAAAAAGGCGCTGTCTATTAAAGTCTTTTCGTTAAGGTTCTTGCGCGTAGCCGTATTGCGTAAAGGTCTCGTAGCTTGCGTAAAGGACTAAGAAGAAGATTGTGAAGAGACGGCTTGAAAAGAGGTCGCTCGCTCGTGCTTTTGCACCGTAAAGGCGCGTCTTTTTCGAAAGAGAGCCGCGTTGATACCGGTGGCAAGAGTCTTTAGTTGAGAAGCCGAGGTCGGTTCGTTCTCCTCCGTTATAAAAGCAGTAACAATAGCGTAGGCTTAGGCTTTTAATCGTCGGACGGCGCTTAGCTCTTTCTTGATAAGAGTGATCACTTTGCCGTTGACTCGCTTAAGAGCCGCAAAGTAGTTTTTGTGACTAGCTTCGTACGAGCCGTGGCAGTTTGCATAGCGAAGAGGTGCCGTGCAATCTTTGCCGTCGAGCCCGTCGTGCTAATCTTTTCGCTCGCCGCAGTAAAAGCAGCGTGCGTGCCGAATGCACTTGGCCGAGTTATATTAACCGAGGCAGCCAAGATCGTGCTTTTTAATAAGTTGCTTTTTGTCGATTAGCCGAGAGTAGTTGTTGCAGCCGAATAGCTTAAAGCTGCGGACTTCTTTTAAAAAGGAGACTATTTAACAGGTTAAGCCGGTCGCCGGGTCGGCTCCGTGCTAAGAGATACGGACGCTTACCGGGGCTCTTTCGGCTTAAGCTAAGATCTTTTCGTCGATATGCTTCGTCGTCTTGAAAATCTCGCCGAAAAGGCTTTTGATTTCGGCAAGGACCTTTTAAATAACGTACGTGTATTATTTGACCGGGATAATCGCTTTCGTGGCCTTAAAAACCTTTTGGTACACTTTTTTAGCTTCATTTGTGATAAAGAGGTCTTTCGCTTTGAGGTTGATCGGGGTGAGTGCTTAACCCGTGCGAGTAGCTTTAAGACGAAGGATGGTAGTTATGTCGACGCCGTCCAGTTTATCGGCAATAGCCTTGCGGGCGGCGTAACTGTCGGGACGAGCTAAGAGTGCGGCGAAAAGTACTTGAATCAAGACTCGCTTGTCTTAGCGTATCTTGGGTTGTTCGCTAAAAGACTTGCGAGTGGCTTAAGAGCTCGTAAGCTTGCGGGTCTTTGCAAGTTTTATTCTTATAACGGAAGAGGATCGGGACAGCTTAGCGATTGCCGATTAAGCGGCAGCCTTTGAGTTTTTCAAAGTTTTCGAAGGCCTTGCGGAATTTGCTTATAAGATAGACTTAAAAAGGGCCGTTTGCTCGCTGCTATAAAAAGCGGTCGAAAGAGAGAGGGGAGTGGCTGCTCCGGTGGTTGCGTGTGAATAAGTACGCATAAACGTAAAGAGACTCTTAAAGAACTCTTGCGCATAATGTCGAGATTCGAGGTCAGGTTGGTCGTTTACAATCTAGTCCGAAGCGGAGGCGTATTGCTATTAGACACGTCGTTTAATAGCAGCTGCGCGGTCGATGTCGTCGAAGTAGCTCTCGATGGCTTTCGTCGCCGTGTTAGTAGTCGGTGCTCTTCGTCTTAATACGAAAAGAAGAGGCTGTAAATTGATAGCAGCGTTCCTTTTTCTCTTTTTAAAGTGCTAAATAAGGTTGGACGGCGATGCAGCGTCTTAAAGCCGTGTATAATCAGCGTTATTAGTATTATTGTTGTCCGCGGAGGATCGAGATAGAGTGACGAGAACCATTTCTCGAGCTGTGCGGCGAGCGCAACGAGCTATTGATTTGGTTTCAGCGGATTCTTAAGGAAACCGTATCTTAAGAATCGAATGCAATGAAAATCAAGTCGTTGTGAGCAAGTTGAAAATTTCGTGTTAAATAATTAGGATGCGAAAGTCTCGTAGGAAGACCGACAGAAAGCTTTGCTTGCATTTATACAGGCTGTTGAGAATGAGAAGGATGGATTCGTGAAGCTGCTAACTACGGAGCAGGGAAAGCCGGTGGGTGCACTGTGATGGGAGTTATAGGAGGAGCGAGAGAGGAATGCTGATAGTTGCGTGGGCAGACGTTCCAGGCCAAGGCAGAGGTCGACTTGGCCATTGCTGTCGGACGCGCTGCTGCGCAGATGACTTTGCCAGAGGAAGTGATCGAGGATACAGAAGAGAGGAATATTGTCTGTCGATTCATCCCCCTTGGCGTCGTCGCGGGTATCGTCCCTTGGAATTTCCCGAACTTGTTGGCGATCATGAAGATGTAAGCCCAACCTGCCCTGAGGCCAGTTCATATCTCTATGGCTGACTTGGTCTCCTCAGTGCTCCTGCGGTCGTTACAGGCAATGCAATCATCATCAAACCATCGTGAGCATCACTTCTTCTCACGATGACGCTCTGTCATTAATGCGTCTAGACCCTTCACGCCATATAGCGGCTTGAAACTCGTCGAGCTGGCTCAAAATTTCTTCCCGCCAGGAGTCGTCCAGTCTCTCAGCGGCGATGACAATCTGGGCCCATGGATTACTTCTCATCCTGGTATCGACAAGATCAGCTTCACGGGCTCAACTCGCACGGGAAAGCTTGTGGCCGCAAGTGCTGCAAAGACTCTCAAGAGAGTCACATTGGAGCTGTGCGTCGTCATGAACCCTCCACTTTCCAACGGAATACTGACGAACCCTAGTGGGGGAAATGATGCAGCGATTGTTTGCGCTGATGTGGATATCGAGAAAGTCGCTCCTGAGGTCGGCTTCCTCGATTTCTGATCTTCTTGGTGCTGACAAAACCAGATTGCCAACTTCGCGTTCCTAAATTCTGGACAAATCTGCCTGTGCATCAAGCGCATCTTCATCCACAAGTCCATCTACGAGCCATTCCTTGAGGCGTTGGCTCGTCACGCAGAGACTCTTCGAGTCGGTGACGGCTTCGCCCCGGATACATTCTGCGGCCCACTCCAAAACTCGATGCAGTACGAACGCGTCAAAGGTTTCTTTGCTGACATAGAGAAGGAACAGTGGACAGTTGCATTTGGTGGCAAGGTGGAAAATACGAGCGGTTACTTCATCAACCCGACTATTATCGACAATCCGGCTGATGACTCGAGGATCGTGACCGAGGAGCCTTTTGGTACACTCGTCCGTGTGCACACCACTCTCGCAAAGGCTAATGGCATACTTGTAGGCCCTATTGTGCCGACCTTGTGTTGGGAAAGCGAAGTCGAGGTCGTTGAACGAGCCAATGCCACCGATATGGGTCTTGGTGCATCCGTCTGGTCGAAAGATGTGGAAAGTGCTAGTCGCATTGCGCGGCAGCTCGAAGCTGGTACGGTCTGGGTCAATAATCATTTTGACTTGTCGCCCATGGCTCCGTTTGGAGGATTCAAAGGTACGTTTCTCTGGAACGAAGCAGAGCATGAACCCCGAGTTACGTCATTTTCGCCTCTCCAACTTTTCCCAATGACATGCGCTGAGTAAAATGCCTCATGAACTAGAGAGTGGATGGGGGGTTGAAATGGGTGTTGCAGGCTTGAAGGCGATGTGCAATTCGCAGACGTTGATGATCAATAAGAGAGAGTGAAAATTGGTGGGCTGCGGAGCTTCATCAATGGACTGCGCCGGGTCATACCTAGGGCCGACAGCAATGCAGCAGCATATCTATCGCGAGACTCTTTCATGACGACTGAGTGGCCGAATGATCTCGATTCAATTACTGTAATAAGCCCCGTATTCTGGACCCGCATCAATTTCGGTGGTCCTTGATGGTTGGTTTGGTTGATGGTTAGTTTTATACGAGCGCTGGTCCGGCATGTAGATATTTCCCGGTCACTCCCTCGTCAAGCGTTTGCTATGTAGGTAGGTAAGGTGTATGTAAATTCGTACGTACGTACATACGTCGAGGCACTTGACTGAGTTATTAACTTTGGAAAAGGGATTTCGGGCATTCTGCAAGCTCAGTGACATAATAGTAGCCTGGTCAGATATCTTAGCCCCATTCAATACAGAGCGCCTTGGCTTTGAAGGGAGAGAGAAGTGGGGATTGCTTTGCGTGCGTATCCGTGTAAATGATTCCGAACGGAAGAGCGCCGGCGACGATAGTACCAAATAGTATCAAAACAAATCACGGGCGGAGGGAAGCAGGGGAACTGTGTGGTTCCATTCGACCGAAGGCCACCGAGGTACGGTACCGGTACCAACACACACTTGGCTAAATATACTCCATATCGCCAAAATTGTAATATACGGTACCGTAGAGTGAGTGCCTACCTACCGTATCCGCATACCTTTCCGTCCGGACTCCGTATTTTGGGTCAAGGGTCAAGGCACAGGATCAGCCTCTAACCCAGGGGCAAAATAGGCCGGATAGAGTTTCCGCATGTCGTTGTAGTTCATGCTTATACTTAGATACGCTTCTCAAGAGGTCAGTGATCGTTCTTTTCTGAAACCGTCGACCCTACTAAGCCTCTTGGCTGTGGCGCTGACCCTACTGTACTGTACTATATTTACTATATTTAGGAGACTTAACTCAGTGAGTGAAGTTCGGTAGGTCGGCGGCAGAAATGCCTCTAGTTACATCCTACATCCGGTAGGTGATGTAAGCAAGATTGTATGCAATTTCGTACGCGGTCAATTACATCATCTGCGCGTGTGCGACGGGAGCTATCCAGATTCTTCGGATGACACTCCGTCCCAGGTAGGTATGGTATTTATTCCAGCCCTCGGCTAAAGGGTAGCGCGACGGTCGCTTAAACCTTGACTATGTTTGTGTTTGTATCGATGATCATGACGTTTTCCGGCAAAGAATTCGTCTCATGTAAGTTGTGGTACGGGAATACTCTCCTACACGCACTGGCCACTACTGGTCTAGTAATAACTACTCCGTAACAAAAGTGGCTGAAGGAGAGAAAAGTCGACATCAGCGTGGATTAATGATTTCGGTCTATGACTAACGATTTTTGATCTCCACATCTTCCTCGAACTCGCGATCGTGCTGTTGGACTTGACTTGTGGGACTTTGCTACTCCTAACCCCAGTATGAGAGCAACTAGGAGAAACTAAGAGAAAGAGAGAGAGAGCAAGAGAGAGAGAAAGAGAGTCTTCAAAGAGCTCGACTGGTCCGTCCATTCATCGATCCATCCATGCGGCCATGAGCAGTCTAGTCTAGTCTACGTAGCTAAAACGGCCCAGACAATAATACGTAAAACCTCAACATTTTTGCAATCGGGCCCGTGCTACAGTCAGCTATGTACAGTAGCACTGGTCATGGAAATAGGACACAATTTTTCAGGCGACACGGGTGGCTTGGCTTGGGGTGGAGGGAGTTGAGTTGGCGTTTGGCAGTTGAAGCTTAAGTATAAGAAGGAGGACTGTGCCTCCTACATTTCTCTTTGCCATCCATCACCCTTGCATCAGAGCTCATCTGCAGTCCTTTCGTTCTTCACACAATTTTCTTTCCGTCGTTAATCAAGCCCAATAATCTCCAAGATGCAATACTTCACCGTCGCTGTCGTTATGGCCTCTGTTGCCTCTGCCTCCGTCGTGGCCCGCCAGAACGACTGCACGATGGTCTACAACGCCTGCCTTGCTGCCGGGACTCCTCAAGTCGCGTATGTATACATACCTACCTACCTACAACACTCCCTTTCCACAATTATTCGCAGGACGTCTTTGGCTAATAGATTCAATCAGTTGTGGTTGCCTCCAGCAGACATGTCTCGGCGAGGATAACGGTTCGTCTCCCCGAGATAGATTTCATTCTCTTGCTCGTCCGCCTTGACTGACTCTGTGCGACGCCAACAGCCCGCGGCCGCGAGTACTGCGCTGCCGTCTCTGCCTCTCTCCTGAGCGTTGCTGCGACGGCTACCTCCAAGACTTTCTCGGGCATCTGCAATGCCGCTGCCATCGCTCGTGGCGATTGGTACGTCCACGCTGATCCCGCCCGCTTCCCTCGCCTTGTGAAACAAAACCTTGACTGATGCGACAAATAAATATAGCACTGCTACCGCAGCCATTGTCCCAACTCCCACTGAGGCAGCCCCCGCCGCCGCCTCCACGGACTGCGAGAAGGTTCGCTCGGACTGCCAATCGCAGCCAGGTGCCAACCAGTCGTACTGCGCATCTCTCTTTGTCAAGTGCGCCGGAACCACCAGCGGCT